GCTGTGGGACTTCCTTGAGGACTGAAATGTAAATCAGAATCTCTTTTTTTGTTGCTCATAAGAAACACAGTGGCCTTTTCCTCTCCTTTATCCATACTATGTTATGTATCGGCACGCATTCACTTGAGTCAAATCTGTAATCTGCGTCTTCAAACGCTGTTGCCTTCGAATAAATCTTTGTATTGGACAAGATCGATCTTCTCTAATTATTAAAAGAAATAACTTTTTCCATAACATGACACTGAAACCCCTCCACCACGTTAAGGTGGCAGCCAAGGGAGGATGGACCTTCATTTGAAGAAATCTCAAATCAGTTTGTGTCTTTGAACACCCTGCATCAATTCCTTATTCAAAAGGTTTTGTTGTTCACATCTGAAGGGACACAAATCAGAATCATTTGCGTCTGCATTTGCCTAAAATTTACCAGGAGGGTAGGTTGGGGTCAGGTCACGGTGGCCTTAGGGTTGCATCCTTCACGAATGGGGGTACAGTGGAGCGTGAGATCTACAGACGGATCGGGCCGTCGTCGGGCCCTGGCGGCCCACCACTGATGAGCCGCCTTGTCCTCGAACACAATGTTCGCTGTGAACAATCCATGACACAAATCAGAATCATTTGCATCTGTATTTGCCTTAAATTTACCAGGAGGATATCTCAGGGCTGATACTCAACCTTTAGCTCAGATGTTTGAAAAAAATAAGAGCACTATGTTTGTTTTAGCTGAAAGAAAACAAACAAAAGCTTATTATATAATCCCATAAAAACATTATCAGTTAGAATTGCTTTATTTATCTAAAGAGTTATCAGTTTATATTTTACAGCATCATTTACAGCCTTATCCAATCTGGGATACCTTGGAAGGAAAATGTCATTTGTATCTCCTCTGGAAAAGATTTTCATATGCAAAGTTTGACTTTGCTGAAGGTCTTTTTCTGCTAGTTAAGCCACTTCTTCCACATATTATAAGTAAGAATGTATGTATGTATGTATGTATGTATGTATGTATGTATGTATGTATG